CGGAGGATGAGATCGCCGTGGCTCTGCAGGTATTCAACCTTCGGCTGTGGCAGGAGACGAACCGACAACAGGAGCTAGTGGACTCTACACGCAAGCTCTGTGATATGCTCAAGCTTTCGCACGGTACAGCCGTGCTGTTTGGACGATTTGCTCGCAAATTGCATCCTCTTCTAGAAGCAGCTAAGTCAAAGGACCCAGGCTTCGGGAACAAACATGCGTGGTCTTGGTTGCTTCGGCCAGCGTGGCGTGCACGGCATGCACACAAACTTCCATGGACAGAGGATTGTCATGCCCTCATTGCTTTCTTCTTGTCCTTGAAGATCAACACGACCACGCTGGCAAGGGATTTGGGACACTTGCTCACACAGCTGGAGGCGCATTCCGGACCCCTCACTCCAAATGGCTCAACCATTGCCTCCATCCTCGAGGTGGCAGTTGAAGGGCCCCAGCGAGAGGAAGAATTTTTCCGGAAGCCGGAGAGCGAAGGTGCCGTGCTGACCCCAACTGACTTCGGGGTTCTTTGTGGTGAACTGTGGATTCGTCACTGTGGGCGTCGGTTCCGCATGACCTACAACAAAGAACGAAAGCAGGGGCCCAGCAAGCCACGCCAGGCACGTTCTGGAACTCTGGCTGCAATTGTCAGAGGCCGTGAAGTAGCCGCCGCCGAGGCAGCGAAGAGAGCAGAGGCAGCTGCTTCGAAAGGCAGGTCGTGGAAGCCGGCCTCTTTCGTGCCGGGCTTGAGCCTGCCTTTGCCGGCAGCGTCTGCCTCTGCCAAGAACAGCGTTGCTGGCACACGTTGGGCTTTCGCCCGCCCCACACCAGATGCCCTCAAGCATTTGGAGAATTTCCGTGCACGCACACAGCAGAAATATGACGGTGACTCAGCAGCACAACGGTTGCTTTCCGTGCTAAGTCATTTGAAGTGTCATACACATTGTCATTGTCATCCAGCCAAGGTCACCAAGAGGAAGCGCGGAGACGATCCTCTGGCAAGATTGCTTACACAACAACGGCGGCACGGCTTGGCGGTTTGCATGGTGCAGCACGGCCACGAGAAGGATCGGTCATCCGTCTTGCAAAGCATCCTCCGCAAACGAGCTCTGAAGCTATGTCCGGTCTATCGTCGCTACACGGACAGCAAGTCGCTGCAAGGCAACAAGCATTTCCAGATTCTTGGACCGTACGAGTATGAATCCGCCGATATCCTGGTCCTCGAACAACTGTCCGATGTGGAGACGGTCCGCAGCGACCGACTGGTCCCAAGCTTTTAATTAAAATGTTTAAAGTCGGATGATGCCAGGCTTAGATCGTCACTGCTGGTACACGTTGACGTGTTTCATCCCAGGTTCCTGCCTTGATCATTGCGTACGGCTGTGGCAAAGTGCTTGCCTCCAGGGAGGCGATTCTGGCATACTTGGACAATCCGACAATTGATGCTGAGAAGTCGTTCTTGTCCTTCAACACAGCTGCAACTTCCAGGCTGGTCGGCCTTGAGATCGCCAAGAGCTGTCAACTGTTGCTCGGTGGCACAGACACTGAGGTTCAAGGGTTTCGGGTTGAAGGGTTTATTGTCTAGGGTTGGGTTTGGGTTCAATTTAAGTTCAATCAGTCAGGACCCGTGCCATCGTCGAGGCCCTGCGATTCTGTGAGAAGTTGCCCCAGTCGAAGTGGCGTGTTGCTATCGGCACACCACTGCCCACTCAATTTGCTACCAATAGGCGCACCACCTACAAGATCAATGGAGAGGCCGATATCTGGAATTTCCTCCGCACCGTCCGCGGGTTGTCCCAGAAGCGGACATTGTCCGGTGCTGGTGTACAGATGAGGCATTTGCCCCCCAAGAAACCCAAGAAAGTTCGTGCGTCATAGTCCTGTACTGCAGCAGTTAATGACAGTGCTCTTTGGCTCCTTGGCTCCTTGGCTCCCAGGTTCGCAGGCAGGAATTTTCCTGGGGGCGAATCATTTTAAGTCTAGTCGTTCGCACAGGAATGTACAGGGGGCCTGTGTCGCAAGGCAGGGTTAACCTTGTCTGGGGCAGCAGGTGCCTGCAACAGAGCCTGTTGCAAGCCCCTGCTCAATACACTGCAGATTGGTGCCAATCCGGGGCGTATTGGCAGGACAAAGCGGCCTTGCAATTCACTTCCCCTGCAGTTGTTTAATTGCAGGACAATGGTAGGATGCAATACACCATGGATTGGTGCCAATCCCTGGTGTATTGACGTTCCATTTGTCCCTTGCAATAGCCTTCCTCTTTCATTTCAATACAGGCAGGATTCGCGCCAATCGCCGCGGCGCTACATCCAAGGGTGTTTTGTATGCATCCAAGGGTCCCGGCAGCTCTTGTTCCATGCATCCAAGGGTGTTTTGAGTGCATCCAAGGGTCACGTTAGCAGTGCCTTAATGATGAAAGAAGCACCTGTCACCCTTCAATGCACACGAATGACCCTTCAATGCACGCAAATGACCCTTCAATGCACATGTCACTTGTCACTGCATTGTCTGAGGCTGTTGTCGTCGACAAGCTGGACGTCGAGGGGCAGGCCCAAAGTCGTTTCATTTCAGTCATGGTTGGCTGTGTGGCTGAGTTGTCAGAACATGACAGTTGCATGCGCCAGTGTGTTGTGTCAGTCTTGCCATGTCACTATCAGCATCTGATACGAGGCTTCTGCGGCAACAGGCTCCAAGGCTCCCTGGCTCACATAGGCTACTAGGTCCCAATGCCGCCTGCGAAAATGGACGCAGCCGATCCTAAAGCAGCCGCCGCAGATATGGCACCCACCATCATCGCCGAGCCGGAGGAGAACCCAGTGATAGAGACTCAGTCTCAGAGATCTTGGTCGCGTCTCGGCTACTGTGCGCTGAGGGCAAGTGACTACGATAAGAGTGTGGAGGCGGCTTCCGAGTTTGAGAAGGATTCCTATTACGAGTCACCGGAGATCGGCTTCCGTGCCTTGTTTCTGGCGACGAAACTGGACGCCATCACATGGCAGCGCAAGGAAGCCATGCGCAAGTTGGGGGCGGCCCCGTCTGCTGCAGACAAGCCTGTGAAGGCGAAGCTGCGCTCATCGCGCCGCCAGCTGACAGAAGCCATTGGGGAGACCCAGTTCGTGGTTCTCACACTGTTCACCAAGAAAAATCTGGCCGAAGCGTGCTCTGCAAGAGACATTGTGGTGGAGGATGGCGGCTACTATGTTCCGCTGTTCTCGGATCCTTGCCAGGAGCTGCCTTTCCACGACGAGGCGAACTGGAGCCTTGAATTCGAGTACATCGGACGCCAGGAAGTCTTTTCATTTATTGTTATTTAATTTTATATAAATTATAGGCTCAGGGGTTCAGAGGTTCAGGGGTTCAAGGGTTCAGGGGTTTAGGGGTTTAGGGGTCCAGGGTATTGCGTCCGATCAAGGCACGTCATGGTGCAGGCCACGACCAGCAGCGCCTGGCAGACCCTTGCACCCGGGCCCGACCTTGGCGGGGGTTTGGGCTTCATGTGCTACACGGCGGTCAAGTCGGAGGAAGGCGGCGGCGGCGGCGGCGTCGACATTAGCAAGGAGGACACATCTGCCCTCGTGAACTTCTTGGCCCGGAACCACGTGTTCGCTGCGCAGGGGGATCCGTTCCTTCCGGATCCCGGTGCATCCCTGTTCCCGGTTTCTTCGTCCACGCACGCAGCGGCCACGTTGGGTTTTTTTGCCCTCAAGCAGCTCGACATGGACATGCTCGAGTTCAGCTGCGAGGGCGTCATCAACCAGTCACCGCCGGTTCTCCATCCGCTGGGGTACTTCTGGATGCTCAAGGGCAATGACCTGGCAGAGCGGATCCGCACCGGCAACTTGAAGGTACGCAGGTCCGGGATCGAGATGGTCATCGTGAGCATGAGCAACCCCAGGAAGCACTCAGACATTCTCCTTGAGGCTCAGCGCTCCAAGCTGGTGGAGCACAAACGGCGCTTGAAGGAACAGGTGGAGGTCTCCAACAAGCAGCTCCGCCGCGACCAGGATGCCCTCGCTGCCGTTGATGCCCAGCTGAGGCGTCTCCCAGGCTCCTAGGCTCCCAGGCTCCAAGGTCCATGTGGCGCCGGCTTGGTGTCGTCATGTTTAGATGACTGATTCATCAGCAGCATAGTAGGATTTTGATGCTTCCTTACTTTGCTGCCAACTTGATTTAAATGGACATGTAAAGCTCAAGCCGCTCGTCGACAAACTGTGGCAGGGCCCACGACTACAAAGGACCGCTGTCGACGTCAGTTTGTGTTTGTTTGCAGCATGTCCTGCACTGCAGCAGTCTTATGGCCTTGCGCTGCACCGCAAGACTCCAAACGGTTCCGTGGAAGGCTACTCGGCTCCCAGGTTCCCAGGCTTCTGTACTCGCGCTCAATGGCAAAAGTGCCGGATTTGCCCACCGACCCAACCGTTCTGAGCTCAGCAGTTTCGGAGCAGTATGACGTGTGTGATGATGATGTGTGGCACGCCATGTGAAGCAGGCCAGTGCTCAAGAAGCCCTGGCAAACATCGTGCCATGGGCCCTTCGCTGAGTTCTTGATACCGTGTCCCGTCTCGCCGCTAACAGTGCTGCATGCCGTGCCTGCCCGAGGTCCGCAGCCAGCTCCCTCTGAAGTTTCCGCAGGCCAAGCAGATGTTCAAGACACCGCCGCTTGCCATCAACGCAGAAGCCAAGACGGGGGATTTGACCGGATACAAGGCGGGCGCATGTCGATCAATGTCATTTATTGTTTGACCGTTGTCGTTTGTCAGGCTGTGTGGAGCAAAGATGACTGCCAAGCGTCCCTGACATCATCTGGACTTTACGAAGCCAGTGGCCTCGCACTGTGGCTGGCCACCGAAGCTTTTGCCAATGTGTCTGACGATGTGTGCTGGCAGGATCTCCAAACTTTCGAAGACGCTTTCTTCTCCAAGAAAGTTGCTTTCAGCACAGTTGTAATGCGTGAGGCCAAGCAGAAGAAGCAAAAAACGTCACGAAGCCGGCTGACGTGGCCGTGTGAGATGATTGTCCTCACAGAGTCAGCATCTGACGTGATGCACGAAGAGTTCAACAGCTCGTTGCATCTTGCTAGCGGCGTGTTTGTGTTGTGGGCTTGGTACTTGGCCGTCTTCAAAGCCCTAGTCTCCCAGGACAGTTGCTGCTTGTGTTCACATGACATGACATGTTGATGAGTCTGACTGATGTGTGCTTGCACTTGGCAGGACAAAGCAGCTTTGGAGCTTTTGTGGGAGTGTGGCTGCACTGTCACGATACAGGTTCGCTTGTGTTCCAGCGCAGGGGAGATTGCGAAGAGTCGCAATCTTGCTTCAGAGAAAGTGAAGGCACTCGGGCACCCTGGCCTGTCCGACACCTTTTGGACATTTGCAAGGACTGTCCAGCTGCTCAAGGTCGAAAAAGTCCAGGATGGTGAGGAACAGAACTTGAGGTACAACAACGCCTTGTACAACAAGGCCTTACACCAGGCTGCCACAGCAGCTGTTGCAGTGCTGCGGGGTCCATCCGGTCCCGTGGAGAAGGCTGCCCGGAGATTGGAGCGGGAATTTGGGCGGGGCATCTTGAGCAGTCAGTACTCGAAGTTGAGCAAGCTGTTATCGCTGACCAACAAGCTCGCATCTGCTACCAGAAACGCTGTAGACCTGGCGGCCTGGATGATGGACTCCTTGACGCTGGCCCTGCGCATGAACATGGTCACGCCAGCTAAATGCACCGAGAAGTTTCTGGATCGAGACCGGAAGACAGGCGATGCTGGCTTTTGGTTGTCGCGCATGCTGGTGGTGCAGGCATTGTAACTATTCTGACTAGCGTGTGTATTTTTTTTTTTGCGGAGTGTTGCAAGTCATCGGCAGCTTGAACACTGACAGAGGTCTTCGATTATGCAGCAAAGCTGGCGAACAAGTTGCCTGAGCCGGACAAGGTTAAGCTGACAGGGATTTTGGCTGAACTCCGTTGCCCTTCCACATGTGGGGAGAAATATCTCTGCCATGCTGATGCTGATCAAGGGGCTGCTGGAGAGGACGACATGGACGGCGAGGACCCAGAGGACGTGGAGCGCCCTGTTCCGCAGTCCAAGATTGGAGCTGTTAAAGAGGGTTTCAACAAAGCCATTGGCATGCTTTTGGATTTGCTGCTGGAGCTGATGTCGGGGAAGTACTACAAGGATTGCTGCATGCTGGCTTCGAGTGAAGATGGCCTTGCAAAGGCATTGACAGCTGCACAGCTTGGAAGCTCGGATGACACGGAGCACGAGGAGCCATGTGCGCTTATCACTCAGATGAAGATCAATGTCGACAAGTTCGACAACAGCACGAAGTCCGTTGGTGCCACATCTGCGGCTCCTGCTCCGAGTTTGCTCCAAAGCCTGGCCAAGGCTTCTGAAGCTGACACACCCGAGGAATGTGTCGAGCGTGAGCGGCAGTGGAAGGCGGTGCAAACGGAACGCCGCAAGTTCGTGTCGTTCTCGGTACCGAACAAGATCTCGAAGGACTGCCTAGTCAATGCGTTCAGAGGTTGCGGCAAGGTCTTCACGCACAAGGGCACCTTAAACTCTTCGCACCGCCCGATCGTTGCCAGTGCGGATCTCTTGGCAGAGGCTGGTACCGACCCGTGGCTCAAGGGCACTCCGCCAAGCGAGGAATGGAAAGAGATCTGTGCCTTTGCCAAAGACATTTCTGGGCCCGAGGATTTCGTCGTACTCTTCGACGGCAGAATGCCGGAAATTCGCCGCGTGTCCGAGTCTTGGCGGGGTGATGTGACAAGGCTCCCAGGCTCCAAGGCTCAAAGGCTGCACCTGGTTCTTTAAGGAAGACCTCCTGCTGCACCAGCAGCACACCGAGGAGTGCACCATCGTGTACTCAGGTGGGTGCCCGCCGAGAACTGGTCGCACTCGCCGCGTTCCGCTGGCTGCAAAGAAGGTGGAGACAGGAGCGGTTAAGTTCCCGGTCGCACGCACCAACATTCAGACGACGAAGAAAGGCTCCTTCACAGTCTGCGGCGAGGCTTCTACGTACCAAGGCACTTACTCAGGCGTGGAGTACCGTGCGGTTTCTGAAATGCCCCTCGTGGCTGCAGACACCAAGAAGAAGATCATTGCTCCGGCAACAACCGGCGACCTCCCGACACCGCCAGAGGACTGGCAGGATCGCCACGGCTCCGACGTACCCTTGTTCTGGAACGAGTCGAAGCCGATAGCATATTGGAATGCCATCATTGAGGAGTTTTTGCGCGGAGGCAGTGTTTGACCTCACGGCTGGCACCGGTGCTCTGATGGAGGCTTCTTTGACTGCCGGCATCGCATACCACGGGCTTTGCAGCACCCTTACTTGTCCAGTAGATTCGTCAGATCATTGTCATTTGATTTTATTTAAATTATCCGAGGCCTCAACAAGGAGCACATGTCGTGGGTCCAGGCGGTTGCTGATCGCGCAGCTTGCGGAATGATGGCTTTGGAGGGATCCACTCTTTACTCGGACGAGAATGCCAAGGCGGTGAAGAAGCATTTCCCGCACGTTCTGGAGAGCTTGTCCAACCAAGACGACCAGGACGAGGCACCTGCTGAGCCAGATCGCCCCCGCGATCAACCGCAGTGATGATGTTTCACTTCGACCGAATCCGCCAGCTCAGGCACCAGCTCAGGCACCTAGGCTCCCAGGTTCTCAGGCTCTTGACCTTTTGCCGGGCTCAGTTTTTTCAGTAGTGTGTAGCAGTGACTACTGTCGCCTGAAAAAGCCGAAATGCTCTTATTGTGGCATGACATTGAAATAGGACTCGCCGTGGATGTTGTTGTAGTCGCCTGAATGCATTAAAGCGAGCCGTTATGGCCCCAGGTTCCCAGGCTCTGAGGTTCCCTGCTTGGGTTCGACATGGGCTGCCGATGGAGGCCTACCAGACGCCTCTGGGGCAAAACCAGTCTCGAGACGGCTTCTCGTCGGATGCCCCGGGGGTGCCAGCATGGTGGCAGCAAATCGCAGAGCTTGCGGAAGCAGGCTGTGAAAGACGGCTTGGTCCCCAAGGCTCGAAGGGCCTTCGTCATCTGGTTCCAGGAAAACTCCGAAGTCAAGAAAGGCGCTCCCAAGCACGAGTTTCTCAATGAGATGAAGCATCTTGGCGCAGTCTGGCAGGGCATGACCGACAAGCAGAAGGCACCATTCATGGCGAGGAGCAAAGATGAGTTCATGGCTCAGCGAAGTGCACTGGCCGTTCTTGGCATCAGGATGCGGGGCTCCACGACCAGTGCGGGCGGCCCCGACGAGGCGAAGGCCCCCCCTGCCGCTGACGAATCTGGCGGTCGCGTTGGCCCATTTGAGCTTAATGGTGCAAGGGCTCCAATTGGAGGCGGAGCCTATGGCAGTGTCTACAGTTGCCAGCATCCGCAAAGCGGCCTTAACGTGGCGGTGAAGGTTTATCGTGGCTCCGATGGCCCCGCGGATTGCAGGCACGAAGTGGAGCAGATGAAGCTTCTAATGAAGGCCGTTCCGCAGCAGAAGATGATGTGGTTCCCGCTTCTTGTCAGCTCGGGTGTCACGGGCAGACCTTGGCCATGGATGGCTACTAGCCTATGTGGGCCCAGCCTGGCAACCGCACTTCGAAATCCTGCTGCGCATGGCAAGCCGAGGACGTGGTCTGTGGCAGCTCAGCTGAGAAGTGCACTGCAGACCTTGCATGACGCAGGCATCCTACACTTGGATGTGAAACCTGGCAATGTGCTTTGGTGCCCTTGCACAGATCAGGTGCAGGTGTGCGACTTCGGCATGAGTGAGAACATGGCACGGCTCCAGAAGGCTTCTCAGGCTCCCAGGTTCCTGCAGTATGTCACGGCTGCCTATCGACCTCCGGATCTGTGGCCCGCTCGTGTGAATGGCGATGGAGACTGCGGTGTCAGAAAGCAGCTGCTGACTGCAGCTGTGGATATGTGGGCCTATGCTTGCGTGGTGTTTGAGGTGGAGACCGGGAATCCCTTCATGCCCAAGGGGGAGGCCGGACTGAGAGCGTGGTGCAAGCAGTGGCCCGAGCTGTGGAAAACACGCAGCGACTTAGCCAATTGCCCCTCTGCAAGTCACACGTGCTGCACAAAGGTGCTTCGAGCCGGTAAATGGGGGCTGTTTGTGTTGGTCGGCTGTGCTCCAGACCCCGGAAAGCGGCGGTGGCCGGAGCTCTGTCTGAATCAGAAATGACTCGACTGAGCCTCCATTTTTATTTGATGATGGCTCGTATGGTTTAACGTGTGTTTAGAGTCGGTTAAAGGGTTTCAGGGTTAGTAGGGTGTGACTTTCATAGCCTTCGTGTGTTCAGTTAGCAGCATATCCGAGCATGGGGGCAAGATTGCATGCAATGTGAGATGCAGTGAGTTTCCTCGTTGTAACCGATTCCGCACAGTGCCGTGCGTTGCAGCTTGCCGAAGTGGTGAAGTGCGTCGTGACAAGCTGTTTGCAGGGCGTGTCGCGGCTACCAGGTTCCCAGGCTCCAAGGTCTGGCGCAAGACTGGCTGGGATCCCTAATTCAATTATTTTAATTCTCAGCGCGGGGGTTGTCCAAAAAAGCAGAGGCCAGTGTCGTGAGTCATGTGAACGCACCCAAATTCCACATGTAACCTGGTTCACATGTCGTTCTTTGCAGGCAGGGAGATGGGCAAGCGTGGTCCACGGCCGCAGCGCCAAGGAATCTGTCAGGACCCGTGCTGCGTTGGACAGTCAAGTTTAATTAATTTGACAGCGGATCTTGGCTGTCGCCAGGATGATTCGATGCTGCGAGGGACCGCATCGACATCGACCCATCGTCGTCAAGGCCACAAGGTTTAGTTTCAAAGCACCCTGCCCTCATGTGCGTTTGTGTTCTACTGCTTCTGGCCTTGAATCTGCCTCGCTGCAGACAGCTCGGTACGACCAGGCATGCTGAGTGAAGAACCTGACTAGAATGAGACCCTCTTTCAGCGAAAGAGAGTCAAGATGCAGGCTCCAAGGCTCCAAGGCTGTGAAATGAAAAGGGGGACCCTGCCTTTCAACGGGGGACCCTCCGTGGCCTCTGGCTCCGGGCCAAGCCTAACTGTGGTCAAAATGAAAGGGGGACCCTCCTTGGCCTCTGGCTCCGTGCCAAGCCTAACTGTGGTCAAAATGAAAGGGGGACCCTCCTTGGCCTCTCCGGTGTGGTCAAAATGAAAGGGGGACCCTCCTTGGCCTCTGGCTCCGGGCCAAGCCTAACTGTGGTCAAAATGAAGGGGGCCAAGCAAGGCTCCAAGGCTCGCAAGGCAAGGCTCCAAGCTGGCTTTGCGCCAAAAGGCTCCAAGGCTCCAGAAAGTGGGACCCTGCTTGCCTTTGGCTCTAAAGCAAGGCTCCCAGGCTGCAAGGCTCCAAGAAATGAAAAGGGGGACCCTCCTTGGCCTCTGGCTCCGGGCCAAGCCTAACTGTGGTCAACATGACGAAAGGGTGCCAAGCAAGGCTCCAAGGCTCGCAAGGCAAGGCTCCAAGCTGGCTTTGCGCCAAAAGGCTCCAAGGCTCCAGAAAGTGGGACCCTGCTTGCCTTTGGCTCCCGGTCCAAATGTAGAAATGAAAAGGGGGACCCTCCTTGGCCTCTGGCTCCGGGCCAAGCCTAACTGTGGTCAAAATGAAGGGGGCCAAGCAAGGCTCCAAGGCTCGCAAGGCGAGGCTCCAAGCTGGCTTTGCGCCAAAAGGCTCCAAGGCTCCAGAAAGTGGGACCCTGCTTGCCTTTGGCTCCCGGTCCAAATGTAGAAATGAAAAGGGGGACCCTCCTTGGTCCGGGCCAAGCCTAACTGTGGTCGAAATGTAAGGCAATGCTCCAAGGCTCCAAGGCTCCCGAAATGAAAAGGGGGACCCTTCTTGGCGTTTGCGGAGCCCCAAGCCGCCTAGCTGTGGTCGAAATGTAAAGCAAGGCTCCAAGCTCCCTACCTGAAGATGGTGACCCTCCTTGACCTCTGGCTCCGGGCCAAGCCTGACTGTGGTCGAAATGTGAAGCAAGGCTCCCAAGCTCCAAGGCTTCAACCTCCTTGGCCTCTGGCTCCGGGCCAAGCCTAACTGTGGTTGAAATGCAAGGGTTCCGGGCTCCAGGGCTCCACGGCTGCCGGAATGAACAGGGAATGTTGCCTGGTTTGCGATGCAAGCTCTTCGTTGACAGGCTCCAAGGCTCCTCAAGGCTCTTCGGTACGAGCAGCCAGGCCCCCAGGTTCCGAGGCAATATGCCAATGCGTTGTCCATCCTTAAAGGCCTTCAGCCTAAAGCCCAAAGCACTAGGAGCGGGGCGAGAACCATCCTCGACGCCTGACAACGGCGCAGCTGGACGGCCAAGCCAAGACCAGGACCGAGTAGGGTTTAAGGTTTACGACTACTACTACTACTACTACTACTACTACTACTACTACTACTACTACTACTACTACTACTACTGACTACTAACTGTTACTAATTTATATTTTATTATTATTATTATTATTATTATTATTATTATTATTATTATTATTATTATTATTATTTTATTATTATTATTATTATTATAAATTATTATTATTAAAATTATTATTATTATTTATTATTATTATTGTTATTATTAATAGTATTATTAATAATATTATTATTATTTAATACTACTACTACTACTACTACTACTACTACTACTACTACTACTACTACTACTACTACTACTACTACTACTACTACTACTACTACTACTACTACTACTACTACTACTACTACTACTACTACAACTACTTCTACTACTACTACTCCTACGACTACTACTATATATGCGAACGGACTGCGATGCCTTGTCAAGTTCTAAGGTGTCACTATAAGAGCTGTGAGCAAGACCGTGTAAAGTGCAAGAGAAGGGGGCACGCTACGCGTCCCTCGACTCTAGGGGGCATGCTACGCATCCCTCATCTTTACCTTTCTATGTGACCGCCAACGCGACGTTTGGCTCAAGTCAATGCCCATAGCTAAGTGCTATATGTGTCTTCTATCCTGAGCAATCAGAGCTATCCCGTTGCACAGACGAACCGCCGCCGGCAGTGAGTGCAAAAGGAACGGCCGCCGGTTCTGCCTGCATAGGATCGCACGTGTGGAAGTAAGAGGGAGAGACAGGGTCCAGTCTGTGGAGAGGGCTAGCCAGCCACACCTACATTCATTACAGCTCTGGTGGGGAGAGCAGCAACCAAGTCGAGATCAATCCCCCACGCAGGTTATCAGCCGTACTCGGCTCTGCCTTTCTACAGCAACGACTACTTGATCTACTACGACCACAATGAACTCAGGATCAAGCCAAGATACGACAATGACTTTCGGTGCCGATGTGGCGGCGCCAGCCGTTGGTGAGTCAACAGCTGATGACACAGTGGTGCAATCCGTTGATAGCTCCACGGAAGATGACAAAGGTCAATCTTCTGCGCTTGCCATTGCAAAGGCAGTTCCCAAGGGGAAAGCAAAGAGTCTAACAAGAGCATCTACGCCTTCGCGTCCGACATCCACAGGTTCGAGGACGGGCAAGGCTTCAGAACGACGGGCCGAAGCGTCTGGTTTTCAGGCACCTCGGACTACGTCCAGGGCCAAGGACAAAGGGGTCAAGACCTTGGAAAAGAAGTCAAGACCATCATCTTCGAGAAGCTCTTCAGCACGATCGAGGACTTCGGCCACTCGGGGGCGTGACAAGTCCATGACTTGGAATCGGATGGTTACCAATCAACCACGTGATACTGACGATCTGGACATGACTCTAGATACGATTCCTGCACGTGGTGATGCGTCATCCGTGGCTACGCCTGCAATAGCTGATGGTCCGAACGCCTACCAGGAACTGACGATTTCGCAACAGTTCGAAGCATCGAACCTTGCACAGCAGATGTACTATCGCAGTCAGGTGCAAGAATATGAAGGAATCGTCCAGACCCTGATGGACAAGATCAAGGAGATGCAACAAGAAGATGAAGGATCTGGAATTCGCATTGACGAATTGGAACGACAACGTGACCATGCATGCTTAGCCATGAGGCACATCAACAATGTCAATCAGGAGATGAAGCGAGACTATGAAACAGCTTTGTTTCGCATGGATGAACAGAACTCTGCTCAACAACGTCAAGCACATGCCGTTGCCGAGGAGTTAGCTCAACAACTACACGTGTTCCGCACGGAGGCAGCCACCAACTTTGTGCAGTTGGAGGCAAGAGCGCAAGGCGATGGTGAGCTTATGGCACGTGAGTATGAGCGTCTGACTCATGAACTTCATGAACATGCCAGAGAGAACTTGGTCCTCCGGTCAAACACAGCAAGTTCGTAACAAGCCTTACAAGCAATGCAGGAACGATTCCACTTGGTCAAGAACCAGGAGTTGCGGGCCGTGAACGAGATCCAAGGGCTAGCTGGAAACAGCGCAGCCATTGAGCAAGAACGATTTCGGCTTCGCGAACGTCTTGGTGAAGAGGAAGAGTACCGCAAAATGGCTGTGAAGAGGATGCAAGAAGCAGAGGATAGACTTCATCATAATGAAGATCATGCAAGGCGATCATTGCCTACCTTGCACGACGAGCTGAGTGAACTCAGGAAAACGCTCAAGGCACAAGAAGATCTTCAAGCGAGGACACGCAGCGAATTGGAGGCCGCGCGAAACTCTACTCAAAGGGAAGCGACGCGACCTTCGAGCATGCCCATGTCTTCAAGGACTACTGAGTCTGGCTGGGAGCACGTAGGAAAGGATGTAATGCCTGCATTTTCCGTAGGAGATGAGGTACGATCCCCTGAAATACGGTCCCCAAGTCAAGTTAGTCCAGTCGCCAAAGAGAAGTTCGCATTCTCGGAATCGGACAAGGACGAGAACCTTGTGATGGATGGAATTCCATTCACCGGTGGAAACTTCTTCACTGGCCGCAGTTCAATGCCAATCGTGGCGGATGCAATGCCCGAGCACTACGTGCCAGGTATTAGCAGCCCAGCACTTGCGCGTTCCACGCCTAGTGCAGCCACTTTTTTCGGCATACCAAGCGGATTTCATGGGAAAAGTGATGCGGCAGCCGTGCGTGATCGACAGCTACGCGAACTCTTGGGGGATCGCGGGATGTTGGGATCGAAGTCCACAGCATCAGCCAGCTCCTCAAGACCTGTTGGCATCGACGGTGTTACCGCATCTACGAAGGGCAACGACCTCGTTGGTCCCCCTGTCGCCTATGACGATT